TTCAAGTTCCCATGAAGAACCTTTTGTATTGTTGTTTTTTTTCGCACTATTTTATTCATTTATGCCTGAAGGTTTTTCTGAAACAAGATATATCCAAGTTCTCAGTCAGTCAGTCCCAAAAGAAATTCGTTATGCAAGAAAAAACAGAGGGATGTTCCCAATATTTCCAGCTTGAAGGCATAAGGCACGATAATTTGGTGCTCGGTCAGAAATGGTGACAGGGGTGCTATACAGAGAGAAATGGGGCAAAGCAAAGTGAAACTGTCAAAACCTGCAAAAAAGCCATTGCTCTACACGATTCAGAAGGCGGTTTTGGACGAGTTCGTCGTTGGATTCGTGCCAATGACCGCTACGGTAAATAGCTGCATGTAGTGTACTCATATATCCATGCAGCACCGCAGCCGCTTCATATCAGTCCCTTCGCTTCATACTGTACTTCGCAAATGAAGCGATAAAAGCATAAGCATCGGTTTTACTTTTGCTAGCGGGCGAGGGCGGTGGTCCAGGTCGGTATGTAGCAGCTTAGAGGACGCTAGAGGGGTACCTTCCTTGGAAAAGGTGCCACGCAGACCATGCTCGGGGACGCCGAAATCTGTCCTGCCCGGCGTATTTCTCCTACTTGTCTTGGGGATTTATCCTGCCTTTAGTAATGATATTTGTCGATATAATAACGGCAATTTTTACATTAGAGGCACAATTTTGATCCAGACTGTGGAAATAAGGAAGAAAAGATTTGCAAGAGCAGTGCGGCTTGAGGCGGAGTATCCTGTACTTCGTATTCTTTACTGAAGGCTTCATAAGTTTTCTGTATCTATTTCGATCGAGCCAAAAGCCAGCAAACTCGATACGAGAATGGGAGTAGCGTATGTATAACGTGCTCTCCCCCACTTCCCCCCCCCCCCCCACCCCACAAACTGAACCGCGTCATTCAAACATGTTAGAATTGTACAAATTTGATTTGGATTTGTTTGACGGTATCCCTGGATCAGGAGCTTTCAATGCAACACGAAATTCGGAATTCTTGGGAACAATGAAGGCAATGATGGGCTAAAAGAGCACACGAGCAGTGTATTTAGGTGGATGGTAGTTGATTTATTATGAAATTCGATAGCATAGCAAGGGAACTCTGCCCTGACTCACCAACAAAATAATGTGCTGCTTAATAATACCCGGATGATTGCAATGAAGGCAGACGAATACGAAGAAAAGCGAAATAACAAGCGCCAGTAATAGACACATCAGCACTGCACATAACCATCTGAAAACAGAACAATTTAGTCGACTTTCATTTTGCGGCTACTCAATGACAGCGGAAGTTTATGATTATCGAAATAGCATTGCGGGTTTTGGTGATCGAGCGTGTAATTTGGGGCGTAGTTCAGACATCGCGCTAGCTAGCAGAGTACTCCGTAACTAGTTGACTTGACAAACGGAAGCATTGCCACTTTCAAATAATTGGGTCTTGGTGCGAATACCGCGCACGTAAAACTACTTGTGACTTCTTTCTCGGCTAATGGTATGCGCTGAATCAAGAGTGTGGAGCGTTTCTTCTGGATCGCAGGGACGGCTGCGAAGTAAGCGTTGCAAGGAGGGAGGGGTGGTGTGCGCAGTATTGGGGTCCAATCCACTCGACGTAGCAGTGCTGTGGCGCGCTCAGAGCACGCCGTACTCTGGGAATTCCCAGCGAGGGGTTCATATTTGGTCAGTGTGGAAGGTGGATCGTATTTGCCTCTTGAAATAATCCTTTTCAACTGGCTTTTCGCTAGTTCCCCTAGTTTCAAGTGTACGACAACCGTACATCTCTCTCCTTCCCCCCCTTGCTCGATTTCAGTATTTCCTTATACAAATGGAGGTTTTCAAAAAAAACTCCGAAAAGAAAATTCAAAGAAGTTGGGAAAAAATGGGAAGATGTCTGAGGAACAAGATAAGGGGGAAGGGTGGGTGGTGTGGGTCGTACAGTAGGGAATTGCGGGGGGTTGTATCCCGCGGATTTTTTTCCCATCGATAGGACATAGACTGATCGCTCTCGTATTCTGTCTGCGCCTATGTTTCTCAAGTCGGCTGCGTGTGTCTTCTCGACTAACTATGGAATACACTGCTAGTGCGACGGCGCGGCACGAAAACACCTATTCATATCCCTCAAATACCCCTACAGTCGCCAACAACGCACAGTTTCTCACGCCGAGCAGGAAATTCAGCTCATCTACAAAAGGCGTCATCTACAGAATTACCGAAAATGAAAATTCCTTCCTGCCCTCTTTGAATGCGCGTCACGAGCTTGCTTGCTCCCTCAAGTCCTCATCATTACGGACTGTCGGGCGGCACAGCCGCGCTGCACTGTGACGCGACAGCGGCTGCGGCTCGGTGACGGTGAATCAGCTGATTTCGATGGAATTCGGCTGCAAATTCCCACTTTTTTAGCTCTTCAAGCTTTGAAAGTGGTAGGTGAATTTTTGAGCAATTTTGAATTTTACTAGCTCTGAATTCCTTTATTTTTATGTCAATTGTTATGCTCTTTTCCTTTTATTTTGCCATATTTCAGGCATTTCTTCAAATGGCTTGCATTCTTGCAGATTCGTTCAGAGTCAGTACAGTTAAAAATTGTTCAAACTAACTCACCTTCCACTTTCAAAGCTTGAACAGTTGAAAAAAAGGTAATTCGCAGCCGAATTCAGCATGGAAATCAGCTGATTTGCCGTCACCGAGACACAGCCGTTTTCGCGTCACACTGCAGCGCGGCTGTGCCGCCCTGGCAATCCGTAATGATGAGGACTTACACAACCACGCCTTCTTTAACTTCGGGATTTGGAGTGTATGGGCAGAAAACCCCACATGTGACATCCGGTGCATGACCGAATGTGCATGTCGGCATTTCCAGAATGCTTATTTTTTCAAATAGTCAGGCTTTAGGTAATCATGTATTGTACCAGCGAAAATTTATCTCTGTATGTTTTCTGGCACCGTTTTTTTTTGTTGACAAAAGAAGCAGAATTCTGACTTGCGACCTTCAAGGATTATTTTCGCAGAGAGGATTGGCCTTGATGCAGTCAGGAATCCAACGTCTAAACGATGCAGAAACGTTGAAAAAGAGAGCCTAAACTGTTTACGTGGCTAATTGTTGCGGCAGCTATTCGATGGCAAGCTACACTCACGCATTAGCTGACTCTGTAGAGGAATGTCCGAATTGAAGCGAAACAAGCTTCAGGGATTGGGATTGGTGTTCAAAAGGGAAATTACACAAAAAAGCCCGCTAGAAGGTAACTCATAACTGGTTATTGGGTTGAACATCGCTAGGTGAACCAATCCTTCAAGCTTTCCTGAAAAGATAAGTCGGCAACAGGCTTTGCCAGAACTACGGAAAATTGTTTTGTGGAGGACCAAGACAAGGTCTGTCACGTGCGATAGTTTATAAATGCAATTTATGCTAAGGTGAATGTAGCGGTGACATTTAAGTGCCATGTTGCAATTCTAGTGTTTATACGCGCCTCAAGTCCGGTATCAAGTGTGAAGGCAGAGGGCGTGGTTGGACCGAGCAAGCGTTCAGACCTTTAGACTGAGCACTTGAAGAAATGATCCTTCCATTGTAAAGATGCTGTAGTGTTGGATGAGAAAGTCGAAATGAATATAGTGTAGTTCGCTGCGGACGGTTGGGCGTGTCAGTGCGGCTGCGTTTGGCGCGGTGCCAAACTCGTTCTCCACCAGTTGTTGAAGCGGGCAAGTGACAATACTGTATCATATCCTTCGTATTACTCGTTTTCTACCACTTTTTGTCGCATGCGCGTTTCAACAAGAAGGCAGAGAACGGCTTGACGCTGTGCACACTCATATGGCTGACGTGAGTTAGACGCGAAACCGAGAGCTCTCTCACCTAGTAGTAGAAACTGGTCTATATAATCGTTCAAACGCTTTCGAAATGGGTCGCAATCATGGCACGTCTTACTTTAGGGACTCGGAGAAGGAGGTCGCTAAAGAGATGGGGGTCGCAATTGGCCACCAAAGGTGAGTTTCGTATTTGCCAAGTGCCAACTGAAAAAGAGTGTTCGCGGGTAGTAGGAAGTTGGATAAATTCAGAAAGATGGTAGTCAGGATGGGGTACAGGGAAGAAGAGTCGTATCAGAGGAGAGGGCAGTTTTGTGCAGGGGCGTATTTAGCAAGAATATTCCCCATCGGCAGGACGTGTGCCCTGGTCGCAATACAAGCCAACGCTGATAAGACAGGTTGTGACGCAGCTCATCGCGCCACCGTCCCTGGCTCGCCTTTCGGCTACGCTTCACCCTCACACAACGCCGCTCTAAATGACAACTAGAAATCATTTACTCAATTCACACAATTTTAGGAATTTAGAGAAACTACTTTTTTTGCTGGGCACACAAAACAGGAAATCTGCTGGTGTTCAGTAAAAACGGCTTTTTAGAAAGACATACTCGAGCCTTTTGTCACGGAAGTGGGAAATGTCTTCAGTGTCTCAATTTGATCATCATAGTTACTCACAAAGGTGTGTAGTACTCTCGCATGTGATAGCCGATACCTTCAGTCCAGCCATGTAACATACCGATACCAGTGAGGCCGACGATCAGCAAGACCATCTCACCCGCTAGAACAACCTGAAAAGGAAAGGATGGACGGGGAAAGATTGGGGACGGTCGCGAATGTGTCGGCCAAAAGAGAAACTTACATGATGGCCCATTTATGTATGAGTCTTCAGAGTGTGAACTCACAAAATAGTGAACAGAACAAGAATATTTCTGAAAGGAGGACGAGTCAGGAAGGAGGGCAAATGGAGCGAAAGCGGCAAACTTACCAGCTAGCGCTAGAACTGCGATCCTAAATGTCCAATTCGGTTCGGAGTAGTCGAGTTCAGCCACTACACCTGCTAGCACTCGAGCAGCAAACAGGCAGAAGATGAACTGAATAGAATAGCTCGATCAAATCACTTACAAGCATAATAGAGTGGTAATTTCGCTTGGGCATTTTCCATTATATTGGACCGCCTAAGTACATTCTTGTGCGCTGCGGATGATGGGGTGTGTCAGGGAGGGGGCGGAGTTGGCTCGGTGGCGGCCAGCCGGCGCTTTCAAGCAACTAGAAGGAGAACGGGCTGCCGCTGCGGGTGAAGGGCCAAACCCCGCGTCACTGACGGGCCCTTCATCCGCAGCGGATAGGGCTGTAACGCTCGGCATTGTCCCTCCGAGAAAGCGCAAAAGTAGAAGAATTGAAGGAAAGAGCGGCAGATCAGGAAAAAAGGTAATTTGAAGAGAGAGAAGCTGAACGCTTTTGAATACGCCATGTCTTCAGCTTTCACTCGCGTGTGTCAGAGCATTTATGCAGAGTCCAGGCGAGGATATCCCTTATCAGAGTACTTGCAAAATTACCCTGTACATAGTGTTCGCTCTTCAGTCAATGCTAGGCTTTCCTGATTGAAAATGATTTATGATTGATGGGGGGGATTGTTAAAGACTTTCTGATTGATTTGATGGGGATTGAAAGATTTCTGATGGAAATTGCCCACGTTAAAAAGCAGAATTCCTCAAAGAGAAGAGGGTGCTCGGCTACCGGTCCACTAAGCCCTTTCACCATGATCATTGGCGACAACCGCGCCCGCATACCAGCGCAACGCGCGTGCCTAGTACTTTTAAGTCTTCTATGGTACACTCAGTTTTACATCCCTTCAAGATTATTAGCTATTGGATATCAAAGAATTGGACAGAATTCGACCCAACTGGACAGAATGGTCACAAAGTGCAATGTATTCGCGATGGATCGCGCATGCGACCTGTCAGAAAAAAAGTAATCCGCCCGGGGATTTTTTGGGGCCATTATAGGTAGCTCAGACCAAGTCGAGCAGATAAGAGATTGAGCGTGAGACACAAAAAGGCGGGCCTTCAAAAAAATTGAGGAAAACTTTTCGGCAATGGCACGCTTTCTGGGTTGCGTTTCCTTTACTTCCACCCAAATCGTGGAGAATTTTGGAAACGATACGATACAATAGCTGAAGAGTAGATTATTAAAACATCTGTCCTGTACATCTTACGTGAGCAGAGCTAGGCTACCCTATACGCTATTAGGGTCGGCTGATGACCCAGTACTGACCCAAAGGGCGCACGCGATGGCTTTGATACCTTTCTGAACGGCTTCGCGAGAGATACGCGTTAAAAGGAGGCAGCTACACTGAGAAGAATTGAAGTCTATCTTTGGTTGACCCATCGAAAAAACCCATCTCCGGGTTATGCTGAAGAGGGAAGATATCCACAGAACAAACCGAATCTCTTTTGAAGAGCTGTAGATTGAATGAGAATCAAAAGCATTCCTTCACCGAATAAAAAATGAGAAAGATACTCTGTAGTACAAAAGTTGGTCATTATCAGGCGACCACCACAAAAGCGATTCAGATAGCGCTGATTTGAAAATCGGTTATGGCCCGATATGCGATTACTGCTATGGAAACCGAAGGGATTAGGTAACATAATTGCTCGTATCGATGGGTTCATTGGTTATTCAATGAGTTGGTACTTACCAGTAGGCACAGATGTGGAAGAAGAAGGAAGTTCTTGTTATTGGATAGACCAATCATTGAAGTAACGGTGGCCAGAATCATCGCAAAGCTCATACAAGAGAACGCCCACCATTCGATGCTGCAATAAAAATTCATTTCAAAAGGATGACTGGAAGGAACTGATAACAGGAAATGGGCACTATTCTATTCTATAATCAATTTCGGCTCCAAAGATTCTCCTAGAAGCCTTTTGTGGGGCCAAGAATTCGTCTAGAGTATCGCGCCGATCATTAAATGTTGGTCAGCGAATGGGGATTATCGTTGGCACGATAAATGCCCAAAGATGTATGGAGATACGCGCTGGCAAGGACAGAATCTCCGCCGCCCCATAGCAACGGAAAGCTCGGCGGCCTTTTCCGCGCCTTTGCCCAATGGGAGGTACCCTTATACAGACCTATCAGGCTGCAACATATACCGACCGAGACGCTCACCGCGGCCCGCGCCGCGCCGTAAATGGACGACGGCAATGCTGATGCTCGTATGCGATTCAATTTGTTAAGTAAGCACATGAAGCGAAGGGACTGATGATGAAGAGGCCGCGGTGCTGCACGGTACAAGTATGAGTACGTAGATGCAACGTACTACCGTAGCTGCTATGTGGCGAAGATGGCCTTACGGAAATACTCGTTCCGAAATCGCCGCTCCCCGAGTCGGGTAGCACTGAGGTTTTTTGTAGATTTCTGACCGTTTAACCTTACTTTTTCGTCATTTTCCCCTCTGTAGAGCACCCCTACTACCATTTTGGACCGAGTACTAAATTATCGCACAATATGCCTTTAACATAGCATCCGCTCTTGATGAAGGTGCCACATAATGCTATTAGGTGCTACATTTCCACTGATTTCGATTTGAACTTGTAAATTTGGGACAGTCGTGAGTTCGGATAACCAATAGGAATAAACCGAATCTGCCCTCTATTCGCCGCGTACACCTCCCCGTCCCTCCTCTTCCCGCACCGTTTCTGGGCCAAAAATGATCGCCATATCCGCATCAGTCAGGATGTCGAACGATTTTCTCCCAATGAGATCAGACAGAAGCAAACGATTCACAGGCCATCAGATTACTCATGGTAAGAGCTGCCCAATTATTGCTTCTCCAGGTCGCGTTTACAATTTTTCAGTGGTTATGGCAAAGCGAACTTTGCCACGGATTAATCCGTCGCTTGAGTCAGAGCTGGTGTGGTGACCCGCGTGATGCTGGGTTCAAGTCGAGGATCGACTACCGCCTAGGCCAACCAAGCCTTCCATCCTCCAGAGTCGGTGAATTGGTACTAGGCTCGTCTGGGAGGGAACTGGCTGACTTGTCTATCTATGCCTTTTTTGTTCGCGCTCAGAAGGGAGTAACCTATTCGTTTGGATATGAGACAAAGCGTACCCAGAACCTCACTCGCCATTTTTTGGGCTTGGCTGGTAAAGCACTCAGCCATTTGTTTTGGACGGGAGTTGGACTTAAGCCGTTTTATGGCTGACAATGTAGAGTTCGAATGTGACGTCTTTTGTCTCAAAAGACAAGCTGTTGTGAAAACAACAATGGACAGCTGTCAGTGAAAGTGCGTTTCAGAAAATGAGTCCCAATGATTCAAGCTTTTAGAACGCTGCCTGAAACTTGACAGCATCGCTTCAGAATACTCTTGTGAAGAAATTGCCATTAATGATACATTTTCTTGTGCAAACAAACTATGTGCCAAAAGTTCAAGACGCTCAATTGCACACGAATGCATGGCTCTTCTACTTCGAATGGGGAGGTTCACGGAGCACGAAAAGGTCAGACCGGTGTTGAGGAAGCAAAAAAAAGTGATAGCAACGTGCCTCCTTCGAGAGCCACCTTCGTGGCTGCCGTGCAGCGCGTTCCTTTGAAATCTTGTCGTGCAGACAGCAGTAGGAATGTATTATTTTCAAATTTTCTTCTAACATTGAAGCGTTTCTTTGACGTAAGCGCACGGCTACAGCTAAGAAACGTTGCTACCTTCAATAGTGTACATAAATAAAAGAAAAGCGGACCATCGGGAGTTCCACGCAGGGCACGCCATTGCGCTGTGATCATTTCCTGAAAAATGCGCACCGCCCCTGATCTAATCGCTCAGATACGCCCCCCCCCCTTCTCCATGCTACCTACCACTTTTCCTAGATTTTCCCAACTTCTTACCACACTTTCCATTCCAAAAAATTTCCAATTTTTCAGGCATGAATTTCGTCGAGCGAGCGGTTGAGGGGGGTGGAGGGGGCGGGGGTATATACCACCGTGATAACGGAAAATCTCAGTTTCCCCTAACCTCCACCTGTTTTTCCTTCCTTCCCTCGAAACCAAAATTTCCTTATGCTTTTTCCCAAATTTCTGTTAAGCGGGGGGGGGGGGGGAGGTCGTCAAGTTTTAACTATCATATCTAATATCGGAAACAGTAATTGTATAGATCTTTGGCAGTCCCTCTCTACAACGGCCAAATACGACATCCCCGCACTAGCATCCGTGAAACAAGAGAAATCAACTACCAAAAAAATTTCCTCGGACCAAATACGACCCACCACTCCCTCGCAGTCAGATACGACCCCCGTTGTGAACATCACAACGATGGCGTGGCCTGGTTGCACGCAGAGAGGTACGAACTTGACGCGCGTGAAAAATCCGACACGGGCTTCTTCCCAACCCACTACCTTATAAAGCATCTTGACCGCATAAGAAGTTCTGATTGCCCCCTAACTGCCATCGAAAAAATGCTGTCATTCGGAAAGGGCCTTTTGTTCGCTACACCAAGAGAGTGGCCCATTTTCGGAAATTCTCTCGGTGAGCAATGTGATGTTTGAGCACGTAGTGGCAATAAGGCAAAAGAGGCATCACTTGTCACCTTGTCACGCGTGACCATCAGAGATATCTTTTCGCCACGAGCTGTCCTTATGATCGCTAAGGGAATTTCTTATGCAATCTGAAGTGTCATTTTTGCCTTAAGACTTTTGATACAACTTCCCCACTCCCTCGAGGTTGAAAAGAAATGTCAACTTGTTAGTAATTATATTAATAAAGGAAAAAAACCCATCTGAAAATTTTGAAGGACCTAAAATTCCTTAAGTCCAGGCAATAGGGAGTGAGAGGAAGGACGTTTTAGTCTTTCTGGCCCATGCTCAGCTAAACACCTGCGACCCCTTGCCTTTCGACTTTTGTGAGATCTTACAAAATCACGTAGAAGCGCCAACCGAAATTGACTTAAGATACGGGCTCGAATTCCCATTTGCATTTATTTTTGTTCTTCTTACGTGAAACGGTATCCAATACCGGAAGGCAGGTAAGAAAGTGCGAAAAAATGACTGTGAGCCAGGTTATGGGCTTTTTTGCCCAAGAGTGAGGATAAGAAGCAAAGAGGCAGGTGGATCAGTTTTTGCTAATTTGGTAGCGCTTTGTAGCTTTTCAACAATTCACAAAATGCCACTCTCCCTGCAACAAGCCATAATTGGCACGGCATTATACAGAATGAACGCGCTTTCGATATGCGCCATGCGTTTTCTATCTCCGCTCAGGATCGCAGTGGTATTCTGAATGTGATTTGGCTTATACAGACTGGCGAAAAGTTGCGTGCTACTTGGCTGCGTTTTGCTTACTTAAAGGCAGTTGACACGATAAATCCCCCAAGACGAGTTAGGATCAATACCCTGGGGGCGGCCACGGACATCCGCGACGCTTGAGAGGGCCTTGCAAAACTAATGCTTTTCCACAGAAGCTACCCCTATATAAGGGCCTATCAAGGCCACAACATAGCGCGACGCAAAATGCCCGCCCGCGCGTCAGCGGCCGCCCGACAAATGGATCGGACCGTTCCTGTGGTCTAGTAGAGTTCTTTTTGGGGCTAAGCAAACTATGAAGCCAAGGATTCTTGGTATGAAGCGGCCGTGATGCTGCATGGATATATGGGTACATATGTTCAGTCGTACCTTCGGTAGCGGTTATTGGCAAGATGCCTACAGGAAACTCGTCCAAAATTGAATCCTAACACATCACCGAACATCGAGAACAGATGCTCTTCTTCTACAGCGCTTCTACTAGCATTTTAGGCTTAAGCAGGAGACGCGCGCGCCCACTGCTGTTAACGTCAGTTGGCTCGATAACTTGGGTGCTCGGCCTAAAATGCTAGCAGGGCGCTATACAGTGGTGAAATGGCGAAAAAACGGTCAAAAATCTGCAAAGAAAAGCATCCGTTGTTAATGACTGGAAAAGCAAATACCGGACGAGTTTCCCATAGGCATCTTGAGAATAACCGCTACGGTAGATACGGCTGCATGTATGTACTCATATTTCCATGCAGTACCGCAGACGCTTTATAATATTTACTTAGCAAATGAAGTAATACGAGCATCAGGTATGGTCGTCCATTTGTGGGAGGGCGGGCGTGGTGGGCGTTTCGTGTCGGTATGTTGTGGCATGACAGTGCCTGACAAGGGTAACTTCTTTGTAAAAGACGCTGCGCAGCGCTTGCTCAGGGGCGTGGAATTCTGTCCTGCCAGGCATATTAATCCTACTCGTCTCAAGAGTTTATCGTGCGAGCTGCCTTTAAAGCAATTCTGCATGCTTGCTGAGATTAAAATATTTCATTTGGGAAACTTCAATAGAATAAGCGTTTATCTTCGGCAACGAATCAGGTTTCGATCATAAACTCCAAACAGCTCTTCATATCTTTTGACCGAAATCGGATTCGAACATTCCTATTGGCGGGGACCTTATAACGGCGGTCCGGATCTGGATCCAGGTTTGCATGTGTAAGGTGTGATGAAGCAGCAACTGAGGAGCCAAACATCAAACCTCTGATGACGTTCAAAATTCTTTGCTTCCAAATGAGACGATGGATTTAGACGTTAGCTATGAACTTCCGCCGCACTGCTGACTGACTACATGCAGGGACATGCTGAGGCCGATATCAAAACTGATGACAGTAACCCCGAAAACTCCATATAATTGCAACCGCCCTGTTTCACCTTCAATAGCAACAATTTTTCTCGCGAGAACGCATGTGAGCAAAAAAATTAAGATTTAGCCATTTTTTAATGGCATGCAGTTTTTTTTCAAACGGCCTGCATACTGCCGGGCGGTGGTAGCGGAATAATTGCCTGCAAAGTATGTCCATCGGTGTTCGTACGCTGTACAGGTTGTTCTGATGATCCCTTTCTTCGTTTAATTTCCACACCTGGCTTGCAGTGAGGCAGTTCACGAATTTGGAAATACAAGATTTGAAGAGGACGAGGATGAAATGTATCTAATGCAAAGCTGGAGCGGTTTTGTGGGAGGTGAAACCTTTGTCATGAGATGTGGCTACGTTCAGAGCCGAAAGAGGGAGAAACCAGGAGCATGAAATTTCGTAGAGTTTATGATTTATTGACGCTTACACGCAACTTGCGTCATGAGTAGAACTGAAAAAAAGGAAAACATTCAACTATGACGCAAGGAAAGCAGCCACATTTCCTCGCTTCGGAGGCATACAAAAAACTCTATACTACTAAATAGAATGCATGTAAATCTATAAAGTAACTCCTAGGAATAAATGGGTTTCGCAACCATTTGCCCACTTGTCCTACAGCTCAGGAGAAATAAAGCTTTCGCACGAAAGTCGCAGGGGAATCAATGTAGCGTTCAGGCCTTCCTGAGAAAATTCCCAACACCAGCGCAACAGGGGCTGAAGTATAACAATCAGGGGATTCGGAGAGATTTGACTTTCAGCTAGAAGGTCAGCTGAGTAATCAGGGTACAGCCTCGTGATGTGTAAATGGTGGTGTCAGTACTATCCCCTCCCTCCAGGGAGGGTTTCGGTACGAGCCACCCCCCCCCCCTTCCCCAGCACCTACCTACCATTTTCCCACATTTTATATTTTACCAAACATTTTCCGTTGAGCGGTGGTGAAGAGGCGGGGGGGGGTATAGCCAGTTTGGAAGGGGAAATTCCTTAGATTTTCCCCACTTTCTACCACTTTTTCCGGAATTTCCAGAGAGTTTCCCTTACTTTTCCCCAAATATCTTGCTGTCGAGGGGCGGAGCGGAGCGTATACAGTACAAACATACCTTAACAGCATAGTACAATACAAACGAGACAAGTTTTTTTTCAACACGGCGAAATTCTCTCTAAGGCACATACGCCCCCAGCCTCCCCAAGAACGACCAAATACGACCGCCCCCCCAGCGGACAGTATGTTACGACCGCTCCCATGTGTTTCGCACAAGGATGCTGTACCCCCGTGGGCACAACAAATTTACGTAATTATTACGCACAGTAGGGCAAATGTGTTCCTCTCCTCGAATCTCGAATATCGAATTTCCTAGGTCGGCGTGACGTTGGGCTGGCCAGGATTCCGCAAGTAACCAGGTTGGAATAAAATAATCTCTATGTTGTTGACTGCTTCCTCTCGGAGAACTCGTGATTTCTGTCCTGTCATGAAAAATAATCTCTATCTGTTGACCTTCTTCGGGGAACTGTGATTTCTGTCTGTCATGAAGGATAGTAAAAACGTTGACAAGTCCCTGTTCCTGCATGAGAAGTACCTGACGGAGCATGAGTTAGGGCGAAGTTATCTACTAGATAATGGAAAAACGAAAGCAGTCCCATGTCCAATCCTGCCAGTAGAAGACCAGTAGAAGACCTGGAACTTGGTTAGAAAAAGGGTCAACACTTGGCGCTACCCATGAATCTATACTCAAATGGTGGGAGGCTAACCAAGTATGTCGGTATCAATAAAAAAATATAGATCGCAAAACACATTTGTCCATGAAAATTTGGAAAAAATGTTGCTGATAGCTAATCGAAAAGCGCTGGAGGGCATTGGAAGAACTTTGAAGCCGAACAAGTTGTTTACTCTTCAAAATCTGCCATCAAGTCTGCTTTAAGAACAGGCTTTTCAGGAACTCTTGAGAGGGTTCCTTTAATCCCCCCACTCCTATCCAAGATGTTTATGTGGGCTGTGCATGTCCGTGAAAAGACCAAGAAACATGGCGAGCTCAATTTATTCTCTGTGAAGACCACTGGCACATCCATAATTCAAACGTTCTTAGGAATTATGCGATGAGCACAATTTATTCCATCTCAACGGCGCTAAGTTAGTGAAATGGGTACAACTTTTGTGGAAAAAGTATCTCCAGAGATTCGGGTGAACTTGGGCTCATTGAGCTCTGGGTATGTTTTGCCCACAAATGACCCAGATAACTGGATCGACAGTTTTATGAGTGAAATGGTCCAACCTGACAAACTGTTTGTCTTCGTAAATGGATACGGACTGAAGTTTGGCGGCGATGACGGCCATCGAGGCGACCAGACAGGCGATGGACATCACCAGCTGCACCAGAAGGCATGTCCATGTCAACGACCGCGTCGACACCATCGCTTCTTCGCGGCAACGACGACGTCAAACTGGCCGCTCTTCAGCGTCGGTAGATTCGATTTTACTAAACAGATAACAAACTTTTCTCCCACTTCTTCAGCCATGCCAAATCAATACATAAGCGACGGAACTCCCTTAAAATATCAAATCAACAAGTGGAGAAAAGTTCGAGAAGGAAGTGAAGTGGAGTATCAATTTAATGCAGACACCAGAATATGTGAAACCTTCATCACCGTAAAAAAAACTTGGAACAAGGCATTTCGAAACAATTTCGTTAAGAACTCCTTCGGATTATGCCGGATGATTTTGTTTTCAAAGCTAATATGCCAGAGAAACGGAACTACTATTATAACCCCAAGGAATTCGATGCACACACCAGAATATGTGAAACCTTTATCACCGTGAGAAAAAAAACTTGAAACAAGGCAAATAATCCTATTTCTGAAGCAATTCCTTGGAGCTCCTTTCGGGTTATGCCGATCGATTAAAATGTATGAGAATAGGAACTAAAAGGGCAAAGTCTTCGCCGTCAGTCAATCCCTTTGTGGGATGCGGCACGCATTCTACTGCCATTCAGAATCGCAGTGGCTTACTGAGTGACCAGTCGGCTCGCCGGCTGGCGCCAGCGCGCCTCCTTCCATGTTACGAAGAAGGTAAGCGCGGGCAGGGCTACGCCGCGCTTATTTTTTCCACATGTTTATATAGCCAACTGGGTGATATTTGGCCTATACCCTGACTTGCGGGGGCCAGTCGATGCAGAAGCCAGTGTTCTTGCCCTCCCAGACGAACCTGCTACCAATTTGCCGTCCCCGCAAGGTAGAAGGCTTGGCTGTCCTGGACGGGACTCGACCCGGGATTCGAACCCGAAAAGGCGCTAGTGGTAAGCGCGTCACTTGTCACCAAACCACCTCCGCATCGAGAATAGGAAGTTGTTGGTTTTTATTGTCATGTTCTGTGGGAATGCGCGGCCTCTGAGGGATATTGCAGAAGCAGCACAGTTGCTCTTGAGTTCTAGCCCTCATCATCTTCGGTTCTTATTTTGCAGCACCTAAAATGTTATCCGCATAAAGAAATTGCGTTGTACTTGTATTCCAAAGCGCAATTACAGGACTTGGCAAAAAGCCAAGAGAGCTGCACGCGACCGCGCCGCGCGGATGGTGTTAGCATAAACGTGAGGGCGGTGTAGCAAGGAATTACTTTCCCACGGCCCCGTACTCTGACCCCGTGCAGTTTTGGGCGGGGGACCACGACACATCGACAGCTGGGGGGCTGATAGTCTCATACACCCTCAATGTGTTTGAGCGTACCATGTGTCTTTAAGAACCACTAGTCGCTAGGTTACCCTTCAGTACAAAGGAAAGCAGAAAAAACCATCCACGGAAAGGATGTACTCAAAGGCAAGTGGCACAATAAATCCTTATGCTTATCAGGACAGCTTGGCGCCCTGGCAGGCGCTGAGTGGTCAAATGTAGACCATACCTGATGCTCGCGATATGGAGCGGCTGCGGTGCTGTATGACCATCACGACTGTATTTCACTGCAACATGGCAGAAGATGCATTTTTGTGGAATGCATTTCTTCGAGACAACTAGCATGTTGTCATGTGGTGAACAAAAACGAATATCTAGCCACGCCCTCTCCCATCTGTGGGATAGGAAAGTTGGCAAGTATAATTTTTCTTCAACGATCCCGCCCGCTGTTCGTGCAACTTTTCGCATGATCGGCGGTTTTTTCAAATTTTCCTTATTTTTTCTTTTTTTATACAATTGACCCTCGTGGGAAAGCTCCGACTACTTCTGCCTTACACATTCGATAAATACCAGAAAGCTGTCAGATTAATCTTGTTCCCTAAACAACAGGATGATGAGCGACAGAACGAAAATGCTGTCAAAAAGTTCTTCGGCATTCTGAAATGCAGAACAAAAGACAAGGAAACAACAAAAACAACAACTGAAATGAGACGTAGCACAAAGAAAATGCCGAGCCATAACAATGAGAATGGAGAAAGGAAATGAGTGAGTGAAGAGATGAGTGTCCATGATAAACAGCTTTTGACGCTGTTTGGGTTGGGAGGAGGTGGGGGCAGTTTGCACTTTCGCACGATCCCTTTGCTAATTAATGTTGAATAACAGGTTACACTTCGCTGATAAAGGGTCACTACGATCACGGGAATTAACAGGTGTCCTAGACTAGCTTCACTAAGCCCTATTTGGTGCCCCACTTAACCAAACTGGGATCATTTTCTCAGAAAATGAGTGGATGCATTAATGCATTGATTTCATCTGAACATAGATAAGATTTATTTCAGCTCTCAATTCTCACAAATTCCATTTAGTAATGCTGATTGTTGTTGATTTATGGTGCATTCAAAAGAAGCGCTATACTATTGCAGCTACAGTCGTTTTCGCTGCAAACGGTGGGGCATGTCAAGGGAAGGTGCTGGATTCAGCGCTGCGCCATCCGGTTTTAAACCCATTTTTGTCGCTTATCAACTTCAACATTTAGTGGAGAACAAGCTGGTGCCCCGCCAAGCCGGGGTATGCAGCAAGAGAATCGCAATTCGCCGCGTCATTGGGCCTCGCGTGCGACGTCGCGTCCCCCATGACGACGATTATTGGTGGTATTTGTCGACAATCAACAAAGTATGACCAGAAATAGACATATGTGTCTACCTTGCCTTGTCTACATGAATCCGATGCTCCAATCGAAAGGTAGCGCAAATAAGGAAACGTCGCGCCCATTGCCGCGCGCGACGAAGCGGCAATTTACGATTCTCTTGGCCATCTCTCCGCCAAGCCCAACCCTCCCTCCCAGCACTTGCAGCGAAAAACGATTGTATACAGTGACTTGCTGACAGAGAAAATTGAGCCCATAGAATAAAGAGAAGAACAAAAAAGAAAATTTAGTCACACAAATTCTTTCCTGGCCCATTTCAAGGGCTTGAGGCAAATGTGCCATCCTTATGCGGACAAATCGATGGCATCTGATGTGCCGCACCTCAGACATTTTCTCACCTCTATGGACATTCCGTGGTGATTTGTTGAATGAATAAATGAAAATACAACGAAACTCTATGTATGTAGCAGTAGAGGAAGCATGCAACGGGAAAGGAGATTTGGGAAAGATGACCCAGAGCTTGCTGGAGGCTACTCAATCGAATGCATGCAGAACGAAAGAAGACTCAGGGAGAAGAAATGAGAACCGGATTTCCCCTTAAGCCTCGGCAGCAGCGATTCACGGTATAATGTGACCATTTATCGCTTACTTCAGATCCGAAAGCTTCAGGCGGATATTACAGCCTTGTTCGGGGCCTGTATAGAGGGGGGGGGGAGAGAGGCTGAGCTTGGCGGAACGGGTGCTCATTTCCACTGCCTCTGGTCGCTTGCATGTGCCACGCCCCACCTGGCCCCCTGACACGCCCCAGCATCCGCAGCGAACGAGAATGGACTTCTTTTGATTGTGTGCAGATTTAAAAGTTCCTCGTTTACTTGAAAGGCAAATGTATTACGTCGAAAAATCGTAAACTAATGATCATAAATTCCTTAGTTTTTTCGTAGTACATGATCACCGCAGATTCTTCGGAGATTGCCGATTTTTCCAGAGATCAGCACTTCCATATATAAAACAGAAGTGTCAGCACCCTCTGTACCACCATCCTTTATCATTTCCTCCCAACTAGGACCGAACAGTGGCCCTTTCATAGCCGTAATCGCGGCTGATCTGATTTCGGTGAGATAAGGAGGATGTGTGAAGGTATTTTTTCTGCATAGCTGCCCTTAG